AAATGCATGATGTTGACGGGGCGTTAATGTTATACACAGGGGCGGTTCGTTAACTGGGCAAGACTGGCGAAACCGTTCACTTTTAGTCAGCGGCAGTGGACAACACGCCCCTGCAGGTGGGGGGGGGGGGCGTAGTTTTACTAGAGGAAAAAATACACCTGCCGTGGTACTGCGTGTCGTAAGAGGCGACTTAAGGTGCATAAGTCTGGCCACCCGAAAAGTGGCAGTTTGCCGAGGGCCAACTACCCGACCCAGTAAAAAAGGAAAGTTATAGAAACACGAACAAACATGCCTTATAATTTTTCCATTTTGGGAGACGGAGGAGCTTCTGCATCAGCAGGAACAATGAAGGACAGCGGACAAAGCCGAAAGGACTCCTCTGTTCCGAACCTTCTCTGTCGAACAAGTCTCTCCGGATTGCGTCGTGGAATGTTCACACCATATATGAAGCATGAAAGAGTTCTCAAGTGACACCAGAGATGAAAAGATACAGGCTGCACATACTAGGAGTCAGCGAAACCCACTGGATACAGTCTGGACAGAAGCAGCTCAGCTCGGGGGAACAAATATTATATTCTGGGAGGGAAGACAAGCACCATGCAGAGGGAGTTGGAATTATTTTGAGTAAGTATGCGCAGAAGTCACTTAGAGGATGGGAACCACAGGGGGAGAGGATCATCATGGCTTCTTTCACTACCAGAAGTAAGAGCATCAACATGAACATAGTACAGATCTACGCCCCAACAAATGATGCTTCGGATGATGACAATGATGCTTTTTACAGCCGGCTCCAGGGGGTCATCGACAAACTGCCAAAGAAAGATGTTAACATCATAATGGGAGATGCTAATGTCAAGATTGGTCAGGACAACGTAGGTTACGAGGGAATCATGGGACAACATGGCCTGGGACAAATGAATGACAACGGTGAGCGATTTGCAAATCTCTGTGCTTTCAAGAGTCTTGTCATTGGAGGCTTTATTTTTCCCCATAAGAGGATCCACAAGGCTACTTGGGTATCACCGGATGGGGTGACAAAGAACAAGATCGATCATTTTAGTATCTCTCGTAGGTTCAGGCGTTCACTGAAAGATGTCAAAGTACAGAGCGGGGCAGACGTTGGATCGGATCATCATCTGCTGTTAGCAAAACTCAAGCTTCGTCCCAAAAAGCATGGAACCAGAACAGGAACAAAAAGAATGAAGTTCCAAGTAAGTCTGTTAGGGACACAAGAAACAGGAGTTTCAACTGTAGTTGAGGAACAGATTTCAACCCTTGGCGGATCTTGGTGAGAAAGACAGGGAGGTGGATAAACACTGGAACAAGGTCAAAGAAGTCTTTATATCAACCTGTCAAGAAGTACTCGGTGTGAAGAAATGGGAGCACAAGGAATGGATCAGCCAACACTCATTGGATTTAATTAAGATAAGAAGCTGAAGGCAGAAGCGAATGCAAGTAGAACAAGAGGGTCAAGAGCGGATGCATTGGAGAAGTACAGGACAACAGCTAAAGATTCCAAGAAATCACTAAGAAAGGACAAGGAGGAATTCATGAACAGGCTGGCTGAGAAGGCAGAGGAAGGAGCGGTAGGAGGACACATGCGAATTCTTTACCAAACCACGAGGACACTTTCTGGAAAATACAGGAAACCTGAAGTACCAGTAAAGGACCCAGAGGGGAAAACCATTTTTGGAAAGGAAGCTCAGTCCAAACGATGGGTAGAGCATTTCAACAGTCTCCTGAACAGACCACCACCGAGTAACCCACCAAACATCCTGCCAGCAAGAAATGAGTTACAAATCTGCTGTGATGCTCCTCCAAAACAAGATATTCTTGATGCCATTAAGAAGCTGAACAAAGGTAAAGTGGCCAGTCCTGACCAGATTCCACATGAAACCCTAAAAGCAGATGCCAATGTGACGGCAGACATCCTCCTCTCACTGTTTTCCAGGATCGGGAATGAGAGCAAGTTCCCAAAGGATTGGAAAGAAGGACACCTCGTGAAGCTTCCAAAAAAGGGGATCTCAGCAACTGCAGCAACTACAGAGGGATCACTCTTCTCTCAATACCAGGTAAGGTCTTCAATAGAATCATTCTGGAGAGAATCAAGACAGCAACGGATCCAAGACTACGGGATGAACAGGCTGGTTTTCGGAAAAATCGCTCAACCACCGACCAGATTGCCACGCTGGGGATTATTGTGGAACAGTCCCTGGAGTGAAACTCCCATCTGATCGTCAACTTCCTTGACTATGAGAAGGCTTTTGACAGTATAGACCGGGCAACACTATGGAAGATATTGCGACACCACGGAATCCCACAGAAGTTGGTGAATCTCATCAAAAGCATGTACGAAGAGACAAGTTGCAGGGTTGAACATAATGGCCAGCTCACTGACAGCTTTGACATCAAGACTGGTGTGACACAGGGATGTTTATTATCAGCGTTCCTCTTCATATTGGCAGTCGACTGGCTGATGAAGGAAACCACCAGAGGACACAGAAACGGTGTACAGTGGACCCCATGGACACAGTTGGACGATCTGGACTTTGCAGATGACTTGGCGCTTCTGGCACACACTCAGGAACAGATGCAAGCTAAGACAAAAAATTCTAACAGCCTATCAGAGTCTGTTGGATTGAGGATCCACCCCGGAAAGTCGAAAGTCCTAAGGATAGATGCACCGCGAAAGGAGCAGGTCACAGTACAAGAAAACGCACTAACTAGAAGACGTCGAATCCTTCTGCCATCTTGGGAGTATAATTGACAGAAAGGGAGGTCCCGGCGCTGAAATAAAGTCCCGCATTGGAAAGGCACAAGCTGCATGTATTTTTTTAGCAGGATTTGGAGGACCTGGGATAGCTCATTACGAACAAAGCTTAGAATTTTCAACTCAAATGTGAAGTCAGTCTTGTTGTATGGATGTGAGACGTGGAACGCATCCCATACGTGCATAAAGAGGATTCAGGTTTTCTTGAACAAGTGTCTGACGAGGCTGCTGAGGATCAAATGGACAGACAGGATCACCAACGAGGAAGTATTAAGAAGAACCAGACAGAGCCTGGTCAGAGATGAGGTGGGAAGAAGACGTTGGCGATGGATTGGACACACTCTCAGGAAGTCAAGCAGCTGCATAACAAGAAAAGTGTTAGATTGGAACCCACAGGGTAAAAGATCAAGGGAACCTCGTGGAACCTGGAGAAGAGTCACAGAAATGGATGTACAGAAAAGTGGGAAGACGTGGAGTGACATCAAGAGACTAGCCCAGGATAGGGAAAGGTGGAGAGTGTTTGTCCGTGGCCTATATCCTGACCCAGGTTGAGAAAGGCAATGATGATGATGAATGGACAACAGGGTGGCTGCTGATAATAGTAATAGCTCTTATTATTCAGTTTCAGGTAAATCCAAATCTATATTTATCAACATTCAATAAGCACTTTCCCTATAAAAAAAATATATACTCAAAGAGACAACAGGGCTTGCGGACGTGTTGTCGCACCACAGAAACTCGTTCCTAAATCTCAGTTTATCTCGCTGGCTCACAACGTTGTTGTCACCAGCTGTTCTCACGATGCACGCCTTCATATCACGTACTCAGCGGTGACGTCACCCAGCTCGGCGAACTGAGCAATTGCCCTCAGAGTGGAAAGAGCCCGCGGGAAGATCACCTTTCTTACCAATTTGCCTCTTCTGGAATTTACAAAGGACAAGACTGTCCTGAAAGGTACATCTTATAATTTCACCAGTAACATTCATCATCAAACATGTCTATAGTCACCGTCAGTTAACTCATGCATGTACGGTTATGATGGCTCAAACCGTTATCGTTAAATGAATTTTGAGACATCCATGGTTCTGTTTGGTGTTCTGTTCCCCGATTACTTCCTGCTACTACCTTACCCGGCCCCAGAAAGTATAGACAGGCGAGTTGGTGGTTTGGCCAGTCATTGTACATATAGCAGAAATTTTAACGGAGGTGAGAGTTGAGGTCTGACTAGCGAAAGACACTTAGCTGTCAGTCTGGACCCCACCGCCTCTCCCCTTCCCCCTTTCCCCCTTTTCCCCCCTTCTCTGTTCTCATCCCAGCCCGATTCTGTGTTCTAAAATTAGTATTTATTGACATGGTTTCTCGCTTAAAACAGTGTACTGAGAAATGCGATTGCAAATTGTTGTGTGCTTGCTTTATTTAATGCATATGTGTTAAGTGTATTGTAGGCCTATTGTTTCGAATTCTACGTAGAGTTGGTCTGCTTAGGACAGCGTTGGTAAAGTGGTATCAATTTGGTTCATTGTTTCTACGGACTACTATAGATCAACTCGTTAACATTAACCTTATGTACATAAGAATTTTTAGTGGAGGGGGGACTATGTTTCCAAGGGCTCTATGTGCGTTTGATTGTGTTTGTGTGTGTATGCGTGTGTCTGTGTGTGTGTGTGTGTGTGTGTGTGTGTGTGTGTGTGTGTGTGTGTGTGTGTGTTGTTGTTGTTGTTGTTGTTGTTTGTGAAAAAGGGGGGCAAAGAAACAGGTGTAAGATATGTCTCTGTGTGTATTATGTGTGAGGGAGGACGGCCGGGGAGGGAGGGGTGAGAGGAAGACCAAGGGGGTTGGAGGCTGAGGTAGGGTGGGGGTTGGGGGGATCAATAATTTTGAATGATAGCCGGTCAGTTTCACAACCACGAGCCGCTCCAGGTTATACAATGACTAAAAAGACAAAGTGGAGTAAGAAGTGGGTTTTTGTAAAAGTAAAGTTTTTCTCGCATCCGAAACGGACATTGGGGAATGCCTTTTTAGTGAGACAAATTCCTGGGCCTGAGGTGTATTGTGATAGGGTGGCCAGTTCCTTTCCACGCCACCTTTACTTCCCCAACTCGAAGTCAGGTACCCATTACTGCTGGAACAGAGGCTCGAACCCGGACTTTCCGCTTCGGAGACGAGCGCACTAATCCCTCCACCATCGCACCCTCCAGACATGGATAAAACAGAAAAACACGCCAAGTTCTCATATTTTCTATTTGTCTTTTATTCTTTTCTTGGAGAAGCTTTCGTTCGCCGACAAGGTATCTCATATACCCAACTGGCTTTAACGGAGGTTGTCATCAGTTACATACAAAGTAATAACGTCAACCAATCACAAAATCTGGAGTGGACTGGGGGCTGCTGGTGGGCAAGCATTTAACTGGTGAGAGCTCTGGGATGTGCTTATTGTAGAAGCTCAACAAGCTGTCGCCACACTCTGACTGGACCTCCTTCCCGATACACGATGTTGCATTCCCCCATCTTTCGCACTCGTCTTCGTAACCGTATATGTTGTTGTCACAATTCTGCTTAACTTTGGAAGACCGCGCTGCAGCGAGAAAACATAAGCGATCAGAATCTGACAGCTGGCAGCTATCGCTGATGAAGTTGAGAAGACCCTGTTGTCGAGGGAATGTGTCGGAATAAAAACTCCAACACTGGTCCAACTCGGCGTACAGGCACGGAATAGCCAATTTCGCCCCCTCCTGCAAAAAAACAAAAACAAAAAGAAAACTGAACATGAATCGAGGTTATTAAAAAAATCAGACTTTACTTAAATAATACAGCAAATAACATTATTTCGTTTTTTCGATTCAGTGACTATAAAAGGCCTTTTGAATAGTAAAATTCGGCCACCACAAATCGAGATAGATATATATATAGGTATATATGTAATATAATATATATAGTAATAAGAGAGAGAAATATAGATATATATATATATATAAAGAGAGAGAGAGAGAGAAGAGAGAGAGAGAGAGAGAGAGAGAGAGAGAGAGAGAGAGAGAAAGAGAGGAGGGTGGAGAGAAAGAGAGAGTGTGTACAAGTGCATGTACATGTATGTATTGACAATGCCGCAGCAAATTTCTCGTTGTGGCGATCAACAAAATGTTATCTTATCTTATCGTATCTTATGCATTATTCTCCAATCAGTTCTTCCTACTAGTGTAGTATGACAATGTAACGAGAAGGGGAAAACATGGGCCAAGCGGAACTGGTCCCATCAGTGCTTTAACTTTGAAAGTCGCATCATCCCCGAATACAAAACGCAGAAAACTGTTCTTCATTTTTACATTAAGTTCTCCTTTAAGTTTACATTTCAAGATGAACAAATTAGACTTTCATTTCCCCCACATTGGCGAGTAAGCTTCATTGATAAAAAGGGTAAGGACCGCGATCAAGGACTTGGTATTGTTTGATAGCAAGTGTTTTACAGTCTCATCGATATGATTTATATTATTTAGGAGGTGAGCTACTAAGACTATGCTTGTCAAGGCCAACCTGAGCTGACAAGAGACACAATGTGCCAGCAGACAGATGCAGACACTCAATAAGAAAAAAAAATCCTCATATGAGAATCGAACTCACTTTTTCTGCATGTAAGTAAGGTGCCTAACCGGTTCACCACAGATGTCAGGTTTTTTAAATTCTTGCTAAGATCAAATTAAGGGCAAAGATGGAATGGTTGCGGGTGCACCAGAATATAGCGAGACGTGTTTTACACATAATTTGTGCACACATCGTGCCCACCAGCGCAGCGGAGATTTTATGAAGAGCAAACAGCAGCAGCAGCCTCGACATTGCCCAGTCTAAGATACATAATTCAAGTTTGTGATGTAAACAGAGAAATACATGAACAAACCATCAAAGTGCTGTTAGTGCAAATTTCGTCCGGGAGTGTTGCAGCCTGGTCAACCAAGACCTCTTCTATTCTAGCATAACCGGACAAGTAGTTCTCAAAAAAGGGCAGTACATTGCTGTGTTCACAGCCTGTACACTTGCTCACTCGTACAAGAGATCGTAATGACGTACATAGTTGACCACTGACCAGTGGAACAGCCAAGGTAACCAGGGCGGCGAGGAATACTGTTGAGTAAAATAGAGATGAAAAAATGAGTGGGAAAGGGTGGGGGGGGGGGAGTGAGAGCGAGTATGATTGGGGAACGATAGGGTAAAATTAATAGAGAAATAGATAAAAGTGAGGCTGAAAGTAAAGAAATGAATTCATTCTTCTCCTCACAAGACAGATCCTGCTTAACAAAATAAATTGTAGGAAAATACAATATTTTGGTCACTTAACGATGTCAAACCATTGTGAACGATGGTGCTTGACTTGGAGGAAGAATGGGAAGAGGTGGCTGGAGAGCCAGAGGGGGACAAAGAATAACATGGATGGACAACATTAAAACATGGACTGGCCTCGGTATAGCAGAAGGACGGAGACCGTGAAGGATGGAGGGGTATTACACGTCAACTTCTGAGAGATGACACTTCCAGGTTATTCAAGGTATGCAACCTCTCTCTCTCTCTCTCTCTCTCTCTCTCTCTCTCTCTCTCTCTCTCTCTCTTTCTCTCTCTCTCTCTCTCTCACACACACACACACGCACACACACACACACGCACACTCTCTCTCTCACTCTCTCTCTCTTTCTCTCTCTCTCCCTCTCTCTCTTTCTCTCTCTCTCTCTCTCTCTCTCTCTCTCTCTCTCACTTTATATTTCTCTCGTTATCTACCGAGGAAAATGAAGAAAATACTGGACTGTAGAAATGTTCATTCGCCTGCCCTTCAACTTCAACTTGTTCACAAATTTTCCAATCATGTCTGTGTATGACGACACCAAAAGAAGTACCCTGCCAAAGATGTACAAACCTGTATAGGTTTTTCAGCCACTGGACTACAAACACCACTATAATAATTGTGTACCTCTCCTGCCCACCCAGCAGTAATGGGTACGGTACCTGACTTCGAGTTGGGGGGGTAAAGGCGGCGTGGAAAGGAACTGGCCACCCTACCACAATATGTCAAAGGCCCAGGAGGTTGTCTCACTAACAAGGCAATCCCCAATGTCTGGATCGGATGCGGAAACAATGTTGTTGTTTTTTTACCTTGTGTACAGGTCAAAGGGTCAAAGTGTAAATTGTTAAATACAACTTTCGAAATGGCAACATTTCGCTTTTAGTGAAAAATGTGTATACAGCAGTACTATACGCTGTATTCGATATTCGTGACCCGTTACCCACAAAATAATAACTTTTTGAATTATACGCTGTGGCTCTTTGCTGCTACTCAGATGGTAAGAATGAAATGCATCTTATCGACTCTCTCTCTCTCTCTCTCCCTTTCTCTCTCTCTCTCTCTCTCTCTCTCTCTCTCTTTATTTCTCTCTCTTTGTGTCTCTCTCCCTCCCCCCCCCCTCTCTCTCTCTCTTTCTCTCAGTGGAGCATATTCCATCAATAACATTTCTCAAGCGAAGTCTGTCCTGTGCATCCCTTTCTAGCTGCTTTCATGATGTCCCCACCTTTTCCATTTCCGCTTGTACCGGTCGTCTATATGTCTTTTTTGGTCTTCCTTTCTTACGTTTTCCTTATGGATTCCACGTCAAAGCCTGTATCTTATCGACTACTACTAGTGCATAAATCAGAGCAGGACAATGAGTGTATAAAGTTATGAATGTGTCTTATCGAATAGTTAATCGTCCAATCCATCCACCAAACACCCAACCAAGAAATAATAATAATAATAATAATAATAATAATAATAATAATAATAATAATAATAATAATAATAATAATAAAAATAAAAATAATAATAATACGTATATCAAAATGAGTGTGTAAAGAAAGATATGTATGTGATGAAAGGAGAATAATAATACTAGCATTTATGCTGCGCATTTCCATTTTCTACAAAACATGCTTAACGTGCATTACATTCCTAAAGATGTCACTATTTAAAAATTAATGGACATAATCATGTGTGCGTAAAACATAATATTATATACATATGTATATCATTATGTATTTTAAAAATATATAAACAGAGCAACTATTTTAGGCATATAAACATCGAATATGTTTTATTTTACCTTTCATTGACATTGTTTATCTGTCAAAAGTCGTGGAAGATCTGACCTGTTCGTCTCTGCCCAGGGTGCGGAGATATTATGCCGAATCACAGAAGTCAAACTCGTTTCATTTGTTTTATACTCGTTGTGTCGGTTTTAACACTATCTACCAGGCTGGGATGGCCCATGGAAAAACCTCCAGATGTTGCGAAATACTCTGACCGTAGCTTGAGAATTCCCTAGTTTGTTTTGTTTGTTGTTGTTTTTTTCTCTTTAGTTAAACAAAAAAGATAAGGAAAAAAACTGAAAGCCAAGCAGTATTTCAACACCAGCTAAACGTATTCTTAATTACCTTGAATATTATCTTAGGGTGTATGTTGTTGTTTTTTTCATCTCTCTCAAAGGTCGTAACCGGAAGCTATCTATGACCAAAAAAGAGCAGTAAAGCTCAAAAGTAAAAACAATAAAATGAGATACAAATATTTTTATATTTGCTTTTTGCAAATTTGAAATGCTTACTGTATTTGCAAGAAACTGAACTGCTCTCAAAGAGATTAGATATCAGTGGTTGAGGGTCAGGAGACCCAGGGGGGTAATGACGGAAAGGTGTTTGGGCAGTGAGACACACTAGCTGTCTCCCCTTAAATACCTCCAAACATAGCTGTACATGTATTTATTTATACTTGAACAATGAAAAGGGCGGGCCTTGTCTGGAAGTCTCCTGGTATACAACTCTTACCTCAAGACTGTCGTGTGTGAGCGAAGAGCCACATCCTTCTCGAGGTGACCCTGTTAACCTAGACCTGGCGGTCCAGGAACAGAACATAATGGAACTAGGGGAGACAACCTCGATAATAAACCTCTAGTCTAAGGTTGGCGAGCCGTGACACTTTGTGATGAAGGGATAGAAGTCATGAGCGCTGTAACTTTAACGATGTCTGGTATGCAGGCTCTACCGGGCTAACGGGTTTATTTCCTGCAAACGTGCGAAACTACTATGGTTTTAATTGAAAACAATCTTTTGTCTATCATATATCTTTGTATAAGCATTTTTTATTGTCTGAAAGAATGTTGCTGTCAAAAAGTGCGCACCTGATGAATTTGTATGGTGTTAGTATGAATGCGTTTTTAATCTCCTATGTAGGCCTACGCCTTGGGCCCATGCTGTGGGGAAAGGAGGGATACAAATGCTCTTATTACTATTTACAATCTACAGGGTTCTCGCAGGAGCGACGGTGGACGTGCTCCTTGCTGGAGATCCTTTGCGGAGTCCACATCAGGTAGGACAAGTAAGAGAGGCAGAAGAGGTGGTAGACACATGAAAAGGCGAGCTGGCATCAGACGGAAGCAGTGGAAAGTTGAAAGACTGGCCAAAGAAAATGTGCAAATCTTATATTATAATTGTGCAAGTATTGAGCAACGCGGTGTGGTGGCAGAGCGGTTGACATATACAGCGGATGTGGTGTGCATACAAAAAACTAGACTTGGGGAACTGAAAATGTTTAAACCAGCAGGATACACGGCATTCTATAACAGAACAGGACACGGCCGGGTAACCCTTGTGAAGAACAACATTGAGAACAGGGAAGTCAGTAGGGGTTGTTTGGAGTCTGAGAATCTTCACTTGCTCGCTGTGGAACTCACAAACCAGCCAGTACAGAATGCCATAAATGTTTAAGCTCGTAATGGATCTCTGGATGAAAAGTGATTAGGGAAGTTGGAAAACATTTGACAGACACTCTCTGGTCAGACTTTATTTTGTGGAGATTTCAATGCCCGAGGTATGCTATGGGGTAATATCAAGGACAACGCACAGGGAGTTGATTTGTAAAATGCTCTAGACTCGTGTGATCTAGCTATAGTAAATGATGGGAGAATGACCCGCATGGTACAGAGGGAAAATGATACAGACAGTTTTTTCGACTTCGCTTTAGTTTCTGTGCAGATGGCAGCTTAAATATGGATGGGACGTTTTGAGCAGTCACGGAAGCGACCATCTTCCTTGCCGAGTCTATGTCAGAAAGACTCTTGAGAAATGTGACCCAAAGACGAAGAGACCATTTAGATACACGCTTTTAGAGACTGACCCTATCACCATGCTGCGCAAGAAAACTAAAGAGAAAAGTCAATGCATAAGAAAGAACGAGACCAAACCCCCATGGTGGAATGAGGAAACACAGGAGCGCTAGGTTATTGAAAGGAAAGCACTTAGAGCGGCTCAAGGGAATCGAATAAATCCAGAACTCCAAGAAGTTGCAAAAAAGGCATCAAAGACTTTTAAAGAAACAGCAGAGCGGGAGAGAAACAAGAAATGGGAAGACTTCTGCCAGAATATTACAGGTGACAGGTCCCTACAAAGTTTTGGAGGTTTCACAGGGCAATGAACAACAGGTAGTCAAGAACATGACTTCTTGATGTTCAGACAGAGGACGGTACTTGGGTTAGATCGGAAGAGGAGAAAGGGCGGACTCTTTTGAACAGATACCTCCGGCAAACAAATCAGAACAATGAGGACGAAAGAACGAGCATTTTAAGGGATGTAGAAGGAAGATACTGGGAAGGAGAGGAAGAGTTAAAAATCACATTGGAGACCATCCGAAAGATTGTTAAGACGGCACCTGACACAGCACCAAACCCAGACGGGGTGCGTTATTCCCACATCAAGGACCTGGATGACAGCAAGTTGGAGAGAAGCCTCGCAAACATCATATATAATAGTAACACAAGATTGGCTGGACAAAACCAGGGAAGGACCCCTCAAGAATTGAATCCTACAGGATTATCACAATGCAAAACACGGTGGGGAAACTAATGGAAACAATGGTATCAAGATGGCTGTCCAATTTCTTGGAACGCAACAATCTGATACCTGTGGAACTTGGCAGCTACCTCGCTGGTAAGGAAACCTCGAGGAATTCGGTAATTTTGGCCTCCGACATTTTTGGTCGGTTTTGATGGTTTTGGGGAGGAAAAAGAGACTCTAGTCGCCGCAATATATCTAGGAGATGCATATAACCGGGTGCCCTTTAGCCTAATCATGCGAACTTTGATAAATATGAAAATCGACTCTGATTGGTGATCTGGGTAGGAAATGCCTTGTTAAAAAGAAAGGTTTCCTTGCACCTCAGAAGCTGGGCTTCTGAACCTATTACCATAACCCCAGGACTGCCACGGGGATCGGCCCTGTCACCGTCTTGTTCAATATATACACCATCGGTCTTACAGCAAATCAATTGGAGGGACCTAGCCGTACGCTAAGCTTTGCAGATCATGTATTGGTATATAGGCAGGGGAGAGATCGGAAGCTGGTAGCAAGGAGCATGCAGAATGAATATTGGACCGAATTGGTGAATGGTGCGAACAGAACAATAGAAAACCTAATCCAGCGAAGGCAGGGGTACTTTGGACCAGTCTCAACAACAGGGCAGTTAAGGCTATCATGCCTACTGTTAATATACAGGGTACGCAGATGGAAAGGCAAGAGAAATTGAAGTACCTGAGCATTACCTTTGACCGCATTCTCTCGGCAAAAGACCATGAGACTAACATTATCACCAGAGCAAGGAAAGGACTAGTTGGACTGAGAGTGATGACTGCATCGCGCCCTTATGATCATGCTTCAAGCGGTTGCACTGTCTGTAGTGGACTATGGCCTTGGTATGCTCACCCTATCCAAGACCCAGCTATAACGCTACAAAGTCATTCAAAATGAAGGAATGAGAACTGCTCTGGGATGCACAGCAGCATCAGCGATGAGATATCAGCTGGACCTGCCAACCTTAACCCACCGACACAAGCTAGCACAAGTCAAGGCCTACGTATTAGTAACAGCGGACGAACATCACCTACTACATCCCAAAATATGAAACCTGGTACGCCAAAGATTAAAAAGAGGATCTTCATGGGTGGTGCAGGCAGAGTGAATTTTCGATATGTGTTGTGAAATCGAGGACATAGGAAGAGGTTATTATGGATGAGGCTGGAGAAAGACATGTGCAACTTCATGAAGGTGATAGCTACGCTAGGTCGAGAGTGTCGCGAGTGGCCAACAAATGCAACTAATGCGGAAATTGTGACCATCCTTGAGGTAAATTCAGTGATGGGTGATGTTGTCGTCTTCCCCAACGGATCAGTGAGGCGTGGCCAGAAATCTGGGTGGGCTTTCTCGGGTTGACGGGAAGATAATTGAAGAACAGTCTGGAGCCTACGAGTGTACTACATCGAGCATGGCAATGGAGGTTAAGGCAATAACAGAGGAGCAGGAATGGATCAGTATGGAAGCGTATAAACAAGCCCTGTTCGTCACAGATTTGATGAGCAGCCTAGACAAAATCAGGAGTGGGTGGCTCTACAGTGACTTGAGAGCTTCCTTTGCAAATAGCCACCTCCTAAGGATTACATGGGTGATCTGCCCTGGTCACGTCGGGGTGCATGGAAATGAGCATGCTGATGAACTTGCCGGCAATGGGGCACCAAATTGCCAAATCATGCTCGACCCACCAATGGTGATCGCCAGATGCAAGGAGAGCCTTAACGACCAAGAGGAGACAGACTCCCACACACTCAGCACAATAAAAGAAAAGAGTGTGCGTGGCACAGGGAAAACAGTTTGCTCCGAGCAGTGGTCAGCGTGTCTCAAACCAGCTCCTCATGGAGACAATTAGCAGGAAGACCCTGGTTGGAGGCTGAAAAGAGAGATGATCAGATATGGACATGTGCCGCCTGCTATGATTCTAGCTCAGGATCCAAATAATTCCAAGATTACATATCAATATGTTTCTCAAAAACATAAAACGAGAAAGAAAAAAAAACAGAAGCAACCCACGCCCTCCCCTGCCAAGGTTTGACCTTGCCTGAAAAGCCAAGGGCTTTTGGTTTGCTACGTTATCTGTGGCCAGTGGGGCTGATAAGTAGAGCGTCTCGGTTGGTTAAGCAGCTGGAACAATTGTCATCATCCTCTTCATCCAGTGCCAGATCTGCGACAGACATCGGCGATCATGTTTCTCCATTCTTGCCTTTGCTCGGATGCTCTTAAAAAGTTTACGTTTCCCTGATCTTTCCACGTTACCCATTTGCTTAGGTTCCCTAAGCAGGTTGCTCTGGACCTACCCCTGCCTCGTTTGTCTT